TTCTCAATGAGAGGTTTCTGGAAATGTGAGTGGTTTTCTTGCCTCGCAGCGACTGGGAACTTCCACTGGCGCTCAGCACTCTAGGGCCCCGGATCACAAATACCCTCCAATATCAGGCAATCCCGGCACCATGAACTGCCTACCCCGGACACTGCTAGAACACTCTTGTGAAACACCACGAGAAGAGCACCAAGCTGAGAATTAGGATACAGAACAGCTTTCAGTTTACTAATGACATGACCTTGAGTGAAACACTTGAGTTTTCTGTTCCTCTGTTTCCTCAACTGCAGAGGATGCCTGCCCTTCCATTATCCTACAGTACTGTCAGGAGAAGAAAAGGTGTGTGAAAGCCCTTGTTAACCATCAAGTACCATGCAAACTCCAGTGTGTTATTTCCAGACAGGCGGGAAGCCTCTGCCCTCTGCTCCCACTACTGGGGTTTGACAGGTGTGAGTCAGTGATGCTAGATAATAGTTTCTGCTCCAAGGACCCAAATTTTCTAGTTGAAGGACACTCAGGTCAAAGCTTGACAGAGAGATTGAGAAGCTGATTTCTGTACCTACTGCATGTCACCTTTCTCCACACCACCTAATCGGTACTATGGCCGAGACTATCTGACTCCCTTACCCATGGCTCAATTGGTTCCAAAGTCAGGGAAGAATGAAGTGGAGTGAGTGACAGTCACTCCCATGACTGCAGCCACTGTTCCCATCACCCGGGCCATAATGACCTGCTGGTGTGCATCTCTCGCCTCCACTGTGTGGGCTCCTGGAGACAGATGCCATTCCACGATGCTTGATATCCACCAGGAGGCAGTGCGTTGCCAAGCCCTTTCCTAGGGCTCCAACATGTTTCGCCATTCATTAGTTTATTTGGAGGCGCTAGTTCATTAGTGTTGGATGAGGTTGCCCCAGGAGGCTGAAGAAAGGAGAGAAGGTATAGATAACCCTATGCCTGGGGAATTCTGAGATGCCAGGTGCTTGGTCAAACCCAGCATCTTCTCCAGCCAGCTGCCCACTCCAAGTCAGGAGTGTCAGGTCCCCCCAAGAGAAGGACAGAGAGCCATCGCCTTCTCCTGCATAAGGCCCTGGCACATGACAGAGGCCACAGGTATGGGCTCCTCAGCCTTACTGTCTGTCACATGCCCTGCAGACAGGCGGTCTCAGGGAGCCTGGATGGCAGCCTTCAAAAGGGGCTGAGGATAGAGATGCACCAAGGATAAGCCACAGAAACAGAAATGAAATCACTGCCATTCCCCACATGAGTGCTCATTAGCTTGACCTCTAGTCTTGTGAGTCCCAAGACAAACTGGGGCCCTGACAGACCCTCTAGGACCCCCCTCATACCCATGTCCTCATGAGATCCTTAGAGTTACTTGCAGATACTAACCCACTTGTTTTGGGAGACCTCTCTCCACCCAGGCTGGAGAAAGCCAGGACAGGGGTAAAGCACGGCTCAGAGGGCAAAGGCGGAAGCTGCTGCTCCCACCCTCCACTGACACCAGAAAGCCCCAGCTGCTTCCCCAGCCTCCACACTCCGTGCCCACTCAGGAATGTGCATTTGCAACAGGCCTGTTTATGTCCACAGCAACACATTCCCATGAGGAGGCCACTCCTGGCCAACCAGCCCTCATCTCCGATGGGAGCACGGCCAGCCTTACCTGATTCACCTGAAGTTGAGGCACCGTCGAGCTCTCTGGGGGCTGTGGGTCAGCAGGTTCCACCCCCATGGCCCAAGACTTTTCCCCCTGCCCAGTCCTCAGGCCTCGGCCTGCCCAGTGCTCTGTGGATGCTTCCTGGCACCAGGGGCCTTGTAGTAGGGGTTCTTCCCATTCCTTCCTATCCCCCGAATGAACATAGCCAAAGCAGGTGCTGGGACCTTATGAAGGAGGCAGGTGGCCCGGGAGTTATGCGGATCCCGGCTCTGAGTTCTGGAGGCGTGAGTTCAGGGGGAAGAATATGGGTCTCAGGATGTGAAAAGGGCTAGAAAAGCCTGAAGAGCCACATGAGAGGAGCATTCTAACTTAGAGAGCTGGTACAGCCTGGAGCACAGTCGACATTCATTGCTAGTCAAATCCCTTCTTCAAGTTTGTAGAGTTGCAACTATGATAAAACCCACAGGGAACCCCTTGCCCTACAAAACACAAGTACTAAAAGCCAATCTCCTGGGCCTTGCCCTGCCCTCTGCCATCTTCCTACAACAGGAACACCACAGGACAGAGGTCATCTGGGACTGAGTTCCCACTTTACAGGGCCCAAGGGAGAGTCAGACTCCATGACAAGCAAGAACTCCAGAGTTCATCTTGTTCATCCTCCACCTCTAGGCAGGAAGGGAACAGGAAAACTAAACCAACAGCCTTGTAAATGGGTTGAGGAAGAGCTGGGTTTGCAAATGGTGCCATTGTGGCAACACAGAGCCTGGCCTGGCCGATGTCGCATGAAACACGTGTGGTCTGAGCCGACTCCAAATGAATGCTGGAGCAAAGGAACTCAGGTATCTGCCAAATCAAAGGAAACTGATACTGTGCATTAAACGGCAGCCTGGCCTTTCTCAGACTGGCTGGAGAGATAGCCCCAGCCCTGTGCAGAGTTTCTGGCCTCCTCCTTTCTACTCTCAGCCCTGAACTTGCCTGTAACTTGAAAGGACTAATTAAAGCCAAAAGAAAAATCAAAAGCTTGTTATCTGGCTCCATTACTCCCCATCCTGGCATTAGCCTGTCTTGCAAAGCTGTTTCCCCTCTGTTCTCTCCAAGGCCACCACACGGTGTTAGGACCTGCAGCTCTGCAGACTTCCATGATGAACTTGGCTTTTTGTATTGTGGCAGGAAGCAAGGGCAGCATGAACACTTGCCCACGACGGACCCCTGCAGCTGATTTTTCTCCCAGGAGCATCACCCAGAAAGTCAGGGTTTGAAGCAAGTTTTCTACAGGAAACTGTCAGAGATTGCCAACCCTTCTGGTCTCAAAAGAACTAGTTGTTGTTTAGTAAGTACATGGCCTAAACTTGCCATCTTCTAACAGGCCTGCATATGTGTGCATGCTCGTGGGGAATTTATTACATGTATGCATGTGTGGGTAACCTGCAGGTAAGGGGGATTCTCTTCAATTGCTGGCTCTGTCACTCACTCCTAACATGTGTGACCTTGGGCAATTCATTCACCTTGCTGAGTCTCAAGGTGCTCAATGTAAAATGAAGTTTTAGGCCAAGGCTCTCGAAGGGCCTTCTCAACACCAGCCTTCTAATACATCTCACATAGACCCATGTTTGAGTGTATAATAGACATATGTCCAGCACAGCCTCTGTCATTAGCTGCCTTCATTTGGGAGCATTCCATGCCCCCACAAGTTCATAGCCCTGTCTCATGGACTCTCTTAAGTGGCTCCGCTACTGCCCTAAACAGAGGGCTCCAGGAGGCATTCCCAAAGGTTAAGTCACCTGCTAGGAAGGCTCAGTAGATACAGTGGAGTCCCCTCCATTCTCTGGTCTGGCTCTGATTTGTCAAATTTTTCCTGCCCTGCTTGGTCCATAGCACCTCTCCTGTTTCCTTTGTGACATCAGGGGACTCCTGGCTTTTCAAAACCTCCAAGAAGAGATGACATCTTTTAGTTTCAGCTGGCCCAGTGCCTGGAAGACTTGACAGTGGAAAACAGGCTGAGCCTAATGCCAGGGCACCATCTTTCTCCTCCCTCTTCCCTACCTCTAACCCAAATCCCAAAGACCAGAGTGATGGCCTCTCTACACTCTGGCTGGGGAGGGTGCCAGTACCCTCTGAGATCTGCCTGGCACATAGTTATACTTTATGAAAGGAAACTAATGCTTTTTTAAACAACCAAAATACATTTCCTAATATGGAACTCCACCAAAGTTTAAGGAGTCAAGAATCACATCAGTATGGATGTGTACTTCTGTCTGATGGATACATTTTCCTTTCTTCTTCTCCCCAAATTAAAATTACAGAATTGATGTTCTCAAAGTAGGTTCATAATCTTTAAAATGCACAGTTACAAAAGGAAAAGGACAAGAGCACAGAAGATGCTGATAGCTGAGCCTTCCAAGTCGCCCAAAGAATGATTGTGAACAAACAGGACCACTGTGAAGAGGAACAGAGTCCAAATACAAGAAGGCAGATGCTTTTCATGGTGCGGCACACGTGAGCTAGGCTACGACAGGCAAGAGTCTGTGTCCCCTGCTTCACCTGGGGTCACCCAGCAAGGCCATACCCACAGGCCATGCGAAGACCCCTAAGCCAACCCTTCTCCTGCTCTCCCTCTGGTTCCCCGCAGCTCTCCCATCATCCCATGCTGCTCTCGGGCTGCTTCCTGACTTTCTCACGCCTCTTCCAAGGCACTGTACACACAGAAGATGCTCAATAAACATGATTTGTCCCTTCCCATCCCTTTTCTAAGTTAGCTTTGCTTTCTCTATGTGTTCACTGCACTCTTACCTAACTGTGCTCTCGTTTTAGCATTTGCTAAAGACATACGAAAGGCTAAAAACACACTTCTCCTGAAATTCCATATCTATCCCAAATGTAGGCTGACTCCTCACATTCTCCTCTTCCCTTACCCTGTGGTTTTATTCTAAGCTCCCAGGAAGATTATTTGCAGGCTTGGTGAGTACAAAGGGCGTGTACACATCTTGCATTACAGCACACTGTGATCTAGACTCCAGCCATGCCCGGTCCCTACAACATCCATTTGACACAATTCCTACCTATTTCCAGCACTCCCCCTCATAACCAGTGAGCCAGTATGGGGCAGAGGAGAGTACTCTGATGGGAATTTATGTTTTAGTTCCCACTCTGACTCTTATACACTCAATGTCATAGTTGCAGAATGTTTGGTGACACTCTGGGTCCAATGAGACTCAGAGATGGTATGGGATATATTCGCCTCATCTGCAAAAGGGGAAGGATGATACACACCCCATGGGGGCTACAAGGCTGGGGTTCTTATCCTACACTCCCAACCATCCCCACCCACAGCCCTCCCTGGACTCACCGCACTGCTGCAGGGGATGTCCTTCACCTTTAGCCAGGCCAGGTCCAGAGTGCCCTCGCCCCGGTAACAGGACTGCAGCCGTTCCTTAATGCGATCATTGATCTGCTTCAAGATGAAGATGCACAGGGCTGACTCATCCAGGGATTTCATTTTCCGCTTCTGGCCCTTGGAGAAGACGGTGAAGAGCAGGTCATCATCCGGATGGACTCCAAGGGTCCTGCCGAGCATGGCCCCCGCTTTGGACAGGTAGGCAGCCTGCAGAAGGCGGTACTCCACCCCACTGCGCTCACAGCCAATGGGCACCTCTACATAGGAGTTGAAGGCTGTGTCCTCCTTGCAAAGCCTCACGAGCTTGGATGTATATACCTGCTCCTTGGTGGTGGAACCTGGTGGAGACACCATCTCAGGTTGGAGGGTCAAAAAGTAGACAAAGTTGCCACTGCTAAAACCATAGACATAGTAGATGTCAAAGTCAGGGATGATGGTGAAGGTGTCTGAAGGGATCTTAATCATCGAGGCCACAAACTCATCATGGAAGACGTATGCGAACATGCCATCCGCCTCAGAGTTCTTGGTCAGTTTCCGGCTAGAGATGGTGGGAAAATACTCAGGCTTCCCATCCACTGCCGTGGCAATGAACAGCTTGTCATCCAGGTTGCTGTAGGAGACGATTACTCCAAAGACTGAGCCACTCTCATTGACGCCTGACAGATAGTGCTCCTTCTTATGATAAGGCTCCCCCAGCTTGAAGAGGTCCTCCAGCCTCAGCAGCTTGCAGATGCCTTGGTACAGGCTCCCACAGGCAATCAGCCTGTTCTCCTTGTAGTCTATGAGGAGCATCTTGTTGACATTGTTGGTGGTGGTCAGGGGCTCATTGCAGGTCTGGACGATGCGGGGTGGGTAACACTTTGGGTTGTCCTCATCCGGGCCTGTCTCATGCGTCACCAAGACCTTCAGGTCGCTGGAGAGCTTGTAAATCCGATTGACAGCCCCCAAGTAAATGTGTCCTGTCCTCTCATCCACCACCAGGTGATTGAAACCCTCGGTGGGCTCCCCTCGGAATGTGACAAATGACCGCTGCTTCTGGGACAGCGGGGCTGGCTGCCGGGTGAGCAGAGTGGAGGAGCCCATGCCCACCATGAGGAGGTGGGAGAGCAGGCAGGTCCAGTTCCAGGGCATGGCTTTCATGGCAGAGGCGGGTCCCAGTGGCACAGCAGCACTCAGGCACAGTCGTCCCCTCGGAGGGCCAGGACTCAGCAACGCAGTCTCCCCTACTGGAGAAAGGAAAGACTATGAGCTGGATAACAGCGCCAGCAGCTTCATTTCACCCCACGGCTTGTCTGCCTGGGCTTTCAAAATGTTCTGCACACACTGAGCAGAACTGCACTGTTGGGGGTGCTGGAGGCTGACTGAGTCGACCCCCACCACAGGCATGTGACACAGTCAGAGCCGGGTGGCAGCGGCCCCAGGAGGACACATCAGTAATGATAATGGTGGTGATGATAATGACATGATAATAATAGCAGTGATGATGATGATGATCATGATCAACAGCCATTATCTACTGAGTGCCTGAATTTGTGTCAGACACTGTCCAGCACTGTCACCCGGGTCAGGTGCCACCAGCAGGCAGCATCCACAAAGACTGGCTGCAGGAGAAGAGGGAGGGAGGGAGGGCAGGAGGCGGGACTGCCTGCATTGGCTGCAAGCTTTGTCCCGTGTTCCCCACAGCAGGCCTCTGCACACAGTTATTCCGTCTCCAGGCTCTCTGAACCACTTCCTGCTGGACCCCATCTGGCCGTAGAGGTGGTAATGGGGACCTCACTATTACTATCCCCCCATACTACACTGCCTCTTAAAGAGCCACACTTTTATGAACAGCCTCTTTATTAACCTTTTCTCAAAGGACCAAATTGGTGTGTGCTGTCTATTACCTGCTGGGACCCTGACTGGTAGACCTCCGAAGTACATCCTATTGTATCCACATTTTACAGCTAAGGAAAGCAAGCTTAGGGAAGTCATGTAACTTGCACAGCTATAAGTGGTAGAGTAGCTCCAAATATGAATAGCGTAAATGTGCACAGGTTCACAATCTTAACTGCTAAACCATCTCAGTTCACCCCAGCCTTGCACGGATGGGGCTGTACCGTGGTCCCTGTGAAATGCAGCAGAAGAGTTAAGGTTGATCCCTTTGTGGGGGCTGTCCATTACAGCCACTACCTCTGGTTCTCTGTGTCCGTACCTACTACTGCAGGAGAAACTTTCCTCTGTGCCTCCTCTGCCGAAGGAAGAGGCCAAATTAAAAACCCACATCCTCAGTCTCCTCACACTGCAGCAGCAACCAGGTCCTGTGGGTTCGCTGCCCAGCCGTGAGCCCTAATGTCATTTTCACAAGGCAGATCTTGGCTTCCTCCCCTAGCAGGGCCTCCTCTGAGAGGTTTTCATTAAAGGGAGAGAAAAAATGCTTTGAGAAGTGGTCAAGCAAATAAATAAACAAACAAATACAAAACTCCCCAGGGAACAAGATCACCTCCCATCCTGAGGGTCTCTTTCTATTCAAGATGCTTCCTGTGTATGTTCCCATTGGACAGCTTTATGTTTCTTCCAGTTTGGGAGAATTCAGGGCAGGAATTGCCAACGTCCTATCTGGGGGTACCTCAGCTCTGTGGAATTTTTCTCATTCACCCCCAAACACCTCAAAAGTGGAGAATGAGAAGAGGTAGACCACTAAGCAATGGAAAATTCCCCAGCAGGGAGCAAACACTAGGTTAGACGGAAACCAAGAGAAGAAGGAAGAAAACCAAATAAAGACTTTGCATTGTCAGTCAGCAAACTAATGAAAAGCACAGGTCTCCTCCAGTCAATATCCGAGGAGGAAGACTGGTTAGTGGAGCACACCACAACCAAGAGCAGTGCTGCAAGCCAAGGGCCTTCGTTCATTCACCTATGTGGTCAGTGTTTGCTCAGAACACACACAAAATGTGCAAGATGCTGTAGGGCCCAAGGATCAGATTCTCAAAGAACGCGTAGTCACATCAGGCCAATACCACCAGAACCTGAACTGATGCGCATGATGAAAAGTCACGTGGCATACAAGAGAGTGCTTTGGAAGTTCCTAGGAGGAGGAAGACTTCTAAGTTGGGGTGAGAGAGAGCAAAGAGCAGGCTGCAGCAGGCCTTGGGGAGGGCATGGAATTCGGGCTGAGCTGTGAACTTGGAGAAGACAGGCAGAGCACGAAGGCAAAGGCCTTCTAGGGGAGGGGTCTACATAGCAGAAGCGTGGGCATATCACATGAGGGTGTGTACAAGGAAGAGTACGTCTGGAGAACACAGTTCATGAATGAATCAGGTGGAAGATGAGGCTGAAAAGAGAGAGCTTCAGCCTTGCCAGGATATCACTGGCAAGTTGAGACTGAAATGCAAAGTGTTGAAGAAAGAAATGAAATTGTAGAGGAAAAGAGCAAAGGCCCCCAGAGAGCAGCCTCTCTCTTTCCATTTAGCCTTAGCCTTTGCAGAAGGAGAGTTTGGAGCTGAGGGTCTGTGAGCACCACAAGGGCAGGGCTGGGTCTGTCTCGCTCGTCAACACATTCACAGCTGGACATAGAGAGGAGGCTCAACAACTATTTCCTGACTGGCAGAAAGAGGGGCTGGAAGCATAGAGGCATATCAATATCTGTGGAGCATTTACTGCACCCCAGAGCGCATGCAAACACTTTCACATAGCTTGGCTCACATAATCTTCACTACTGTTCCCTGGGGTCAGAACTATCTTATTCCTGTTTCAGGTGAGGAAACTTTAGCTCTGCAAGGACACTGGTTAATACGTAGCACAACTGGGTTTGAAGTCCAGGTTTCAGTCACTGCAAAATCCATACTTTTCTAGAAAAGCACAATTCCAGAGCCCAGAAGATAGAGCACTATAGAAGCCCTTGTTAACTCATGGAAGCCCCAAACAGAAATCCTGGGATAACACCTACCAGTATCAGGAGAAAAACAAAGTCCTGTCTGACCCTCAGGGGCTAAGCTGGTAGATAACACCGATCAGGTGAGCTCTGTGGTTTACCTCTGAAAGTATTAATGACTGTAAAGCAGCAGCCACATAGAGCCTCTGCGCAGCACAGTTAAGTGCTTAGGAAATGATAGTTGCTGTCATTGTTATCGTTAGCAAGATTAAAATAAGATTAGAAAGATTAGGATTATGATAATGAGATGGTACTTGGTGGTACATCTCAAGATGAGTGATGAGGAGTCAAGATGGTTCATCTTGAATTTCTTGTGCAAAGTCAAATTCCTATCAAAGACGAATCTATACGGTTTTTATCTGAAAGGGATAATCCAGTTTAGTGTTTCCCAATCCCTGATTTTAGAGACAAGGAAGTGGAAATCCAAGAGGTCAGATGAAATTGCAAGAGGTCACACATTGAGTTGAAGATGGTGTAAGATCGGGTCTCACACTGTCCGTCCCATGCTCTTTCCACCACCCCAGCCTCTCTTCTGACTTTATGTGAACTCACTCCAGCAGCTGCTTCCAGCCTTTGTCTGAAAGAGACTGCTCTTTGGGCACCATATGCTCTGCTGGCTACCAGGGCTCTCAAAGCATCTCTGCCAAAAACCAAATTCCAGCAGGGCTGATAATCCCCCTTTCAGACAGGCAGGTGCAGGTCGGGGCTCAGCCACCAACTTTTCTGAGGAGGGAACTTCGCACAGTCTCTGTATCACAATGTGCCATATGCTGGGGAAAGTGTGCGTACCCCACAACCTGCCTTACTATACACACACGTGGACCCATGGCCAATCAACAGCTCTCTAGTCTGCAAGAGGCGAGATGAAGAATCCTATAATTATGAATTTACTGAGCAGAAAGGTGCCATGGCTCATTCTGCATCTTCTATTAGGCACTGAAATGAGACACAGTTATGCATCTCAAACACTTATCGCCTCATCTGGAGATGGTGAGATTACTACACCCGGAGAGGAGGGGGGCCCACAGAAACAATAACATGTACTGGGAATAACCAGCCTCTCATTTTACACACCAAGAAAGGGACTGATTAGGAAACAAATAAGAGAGAAATGGAAGAGAAAGGGGGAAAATAAGGATGCGAGCTCCAGCTTGCGTCACCGAAGACCCCACAAGGCACCACCGCAGAAGTGACCTCTGCCCAGCTTGGGACACACGGATATGCAGAGGCACCAGCCCCCTGCCTCCCTGAGCTGTCTAAGGCTGCTCCAATCTGGCAAAGCAAGAGTTTCCAGGGAGGTTTCCCTTCCAGGACGTCAATTCTTGTAAGCGGTAACCCCAACCTAGGAAACCCCCACCCCAATTTCAGAGCCTACCCACCATTTCACTCTCAAGTCACCATTTAGCTAGTGTCAAAACCAAGTATTGGAAATTGCATTCGGCCCAACTCTGATCCTTAAAGGCAAGTAATGGGACCAAATAAGCTTCATGATTGCCCCGAAGGATTCACTGAACTACCGAGGGTGGGTAAGAAGGCAGGAGAACCGAAAGACCCCCCAAACCCAACCCAAACACGCCACAGTTTTCCCTTCTTCGAAATCAGATTTTAATTCTGAGTAGTCTCGGGGGAGATGGGACTCATTTACAGAGGCTGATCATCATTTTGATTAAAGAAATTGGGGCTGTCTTTGTTTTAGGCAGCAAGTTTCAAAGAACTGAAACTAATTTTCATGAAATAGCACCATCCTCTCAGATTCCTGAGTGGTAGAAAGGAAAGTTATTATAGAGTCGTTTAAAATAGCAATTACCCTGTGAAATTACTTTAGAGTTTACAAAGTGTTTTCATGGATATTACCTTGTTCTGCATTTCTTGTTCAAGACAATCCTGTTAGGTAGATGAGGTATTTATAAGTATGCCCTCTAGAAATAAGGAAACCGAGGCATAAACAGGTACAGGTCTTGGCGGAGGTCACACACAGTCACTTTGGACATTGGAGAGCTGAGCTCTTCAGGCCTCACTTGGTTATTCACAATACATTCCCTGGCCCCTTGGACAGAGGCCTGGTCCTCAGACCTTTTGCTATGGGGTAATAGGATTCTCAGAAAATGTGTCCTAGGATAGCACTTCAAAATTCATGTCACAGCACACCATGAACTAGGTGACTCACAGGTGCTTTTTTTTGAGATGGAGTCTCCCTCTGTCGCCCAGGCTGGAATGCAGTGGCGTGATCTGGGCTCACTGCAACCTCCACCTCCAAGGGGTTCAAGCGATTCTCCTGCCTCAGCCTCCCAAGTAGCTGGGATTACAGGTGCC